CGGAAAAAAAATTTAGGTGAGATTATTATTAAAATATTAAATAAAAAAGGATTAAAAAATAAAAATTCTCCCAATATCCACCGAAAGCTGCCGCCGCGCCGTTGCCGCGAGCGAAGGAGACGGGTGCCACCACCGGGCCGTTGAGCTTCATCAGCGCAGCCACGCCGATGCACACAGACGGCGATGGAGAACGGCGGAGAAACAAAGAATGGCGCGCAGGGATGGTTGGGCGATGGATTTGGCGCGTATCTTGGCTTCCCACCCGCTCGCACCACAGATGGATCCTCATGCCACGCTTGGAGAAGATGGCCCCCGTACAACGCGGTTTCGGCTGATGACTCGGCCTAGGACCACGCGTCGTCACCACTCACTCTCTCCCTTCATTAATTACTATTCGCGAGGGTTTTTTCACAAAAAGAACATTACGGAGATGGCCCTCAGACTCGGTCACTCGGCTGTAAACAGGCCCTCCGCCCTCCCAAAAGCCAAACTCACCCTATACATGGTCCGGTTATAACCGGACCAACCCATCGAACTAGACCGATGGAAACCACATCTACGAGTTAGGCACGGGTTGGTTTGCTGTGGGTTCCAGACTGCTAACCCATTCGATTTGTTTTCTCCAACTCAGTCCGTCTCTACCATGGGCTACGCCGACGAAGACGACAAGGAGCCTCCACTGCAGCCATCCCCTCTGCGAGCCTGCCCATGCCACCGCCCGCTCTGGCACCGGTGTGTGCAGCAATGGCAGCGTGCGTTCGCGTCCAAGGTCTAGAGGGTGGCAACCGGCAATGGCTGCTGCTCGGCGCCGTAGTGGCTCTCTCCGTGCTCCTCCATGCTCAAGTTCCACAATGACACCGGGTCGCCGTTCTTGGTTAACGTGTACTCAGTACTTCAGCTACAACGCGGCGACGCTGAACTATGCCGTGTTCCATCCCAACGCCGGGGTGTACGACCCCACGATGAAGATCAACTACAAGACATGTTCGACGTGTAGATGGACGCCATCTACACGGCGATGAAGAGGCTCGAGTACGGAGATGGGGTGGAGATTGCCGTCGGCGAGGTGGGGTGGCCGACCAAGGCGGAGGCCGGGAAGGTCGAGGTGGGGCTGGAGGAGGCCAGGGATTTCTATGCTGGGATGATAAGGGTGTGTAGCGGCGGCAAGGGTATGCCGATGATGCCGGGGAGGAGGTTCGAGACGTACGTGTTCTCGTTGTTCGATGAGAACTAGAAGCCCAGGCCGGTCACGGAGAGGAATTTTGGGATCTTCAACATGGATTTCACACCCAAGTATGATCTCAGTCTCCTCCGTCAAGGATCGGTGAGTTGTGCTACTACTATGCTCTCGCTCATTTTTGTGTCTCGCACGGATTCCTGAGGACTTCTGTAATTTGTTTTATTATTACTATCCAAACACCCCCCATGTGACGCCCCTAAACTTTTGCCCCTAGATTTAAACACCACCTTACAGCCCTAGGTACCTCATGCCTGCACAGATATACAGTACAAACACCATGTTTAGCTAATGGGCAGCACTTCCTAACAATTATGTTTTTTACTCTGAGGGATTCAATGTACATATTGATCTGAAAAGCTTACCCAGTAACCAAAGGATAATTTGAATTATTGTGCTTATTTTGAGTCGAAATAACGTCAGCGTGATAGACTCCACAGTATATGATCTTTAATGAAACGTCGCTGCTTTGCACTGCTCTGAAAAATTATCATACACATAGTAGCTCCCATAAGAAGACGCTATGAAAATGAAACCAATAAGCTAGCTGCACAAAAGACAAGCGTGTTGCTATTTGCACTCAAATTTGTGCAATCCCATCATCGGACCCAATATATGCCCCGTAGTAAGCATCAATTTCACTATTTAGTTAGTTTGACACACCACTAGCAAAATACCCGCACACTACTTGTTCCGGACTTGATATGCTCATTTAAAAATAGGCACTAAACACACTGAAAACTAAACATAATGATTATGATTATGGACATGTAAAGGCATGGAAACAATACAATTCTAGCATAGCAAGACGATGAGGAGCTTTATATACCATGCCCGCTGGATGGATTGGATTGGAGTATCATGTTTTTTTAAATAATATATTTTTAATGATTAATTGGCCGCGGGATGGACTGGGCTGGAATGGAGAGCCGACTGGACACCTATCGGCCCCTGGGGCGCCGACATCTCCCTATCGGCCTTCCAGAAGCCGACAAGGCGCCTGAGGGGGCTGCAAAGTGCGCCATATCTCCTATCGGCTGCGTGGGGCCGATAAGTAGCTGTCGGCTGTCCGGTGGCCAATAGGTGCTAAAATATCTAACCAGCGCGATGAAGGAGAAGGATGCGCAGCGCAGCGCGATCGATGACATGGAGCCTGCAGTATTCGAGGCACTCCTGCACTTCGTCTACACAGATTCCTTGCCGGATGATGCAGATAAAAAATGGTGAGATCCAAAAAATTTCCTGGTGTGATTATTATTAAAATATTAAATAAAAAGGAATAAAAAATTAAAAATTCTCCCAATATCCACGGAAGCTGCCGCCGCGCCGTTGCCGCGAGCGAAGGAGACGGGTGCCGCCACCGGCCCGTTGAGCTTCATCAGCGCAGCCACGCTGATGCACACGGACGGGGATGGAGAACGGCGGAGAAACAAAGAATGGCGTGCAGGGATGGTTGGGCGATGGATTTGGCGCGTATCTTGGCTTCCCGCCCGCTCGCGCCATAGATGGATCCTCATGCCACGCTTGGAGAAGACGGCCCCTGTACAACGCGGTTTCGGCCGACGACTCGGCCTGGGACCACGCGCCATCGCCACTCACTCTCTCCCATCATTAATTACTGTTCACGAGGGGGTTTTCGCAAAAAGAACATTACGGAGACGGCCCTCGGACTCGGTCACTCGGTTGTAAACAGGCCCTCCGCCCTCCCAAAAGCCAAACTCACCCTATACATGGTCCGGTTATAACCGGACCAACCCATCGAACTAGACCGATGGAAACCGCATCTATGGGTTAGGCACGGGTTGGTTTGCTGCGGGTTCCAGACCGCTAACCCGTTCGATTCATTTTCTCCAACTCAGTCCGTCTCCACCACAGGCTATGCCGATGAAGACGACAAGGAGCCTCCACTGCGGCCGTCCCCTCCACGAGCCTGCCTGTGCCACTGCCCGCTCTGGCACTGATGTGTGCAGCAATGGCAGGGTGCGTCTGCGTCCAAGTTCTAGAGGGCGGCAACCAGCAATGGCTGCTGCTCGGCACCGTAGTGGCTCTCTCCGTGCTCCTCCATGCTCAAGTTCCACAACAACACCGGGTCGCCGTTCATGGTGAACGCGTACCCGTACTTCAGCTACAATGCGGCGATGCTGAACTACGCCGTGTTTCGTCCCAACACCGAGGTGTACGACCCCGCGACAAAGATCAACTACATGAGCATGTTCGACGCGCAAATGGACACCATCTACACGGCGATGAAGAGGCTCGGGTATGGAGATGGGGTGGAGATTGCCATCGGCGAGGCAGGGTGGCCGACCAAGGCGGAGGCCGGGTAGGTCGGAGTGGGGCTGGAGGAGGCCAGGGATTTCAATGCCGGGATGATAAGGGTGTGTAGCGGCGGCAAGGGCACACCGATGACGCCGGGGAGGACGTTCGAGACGTACGTGTTCTCGTTGTTCGATGAGAACCAGAAGCCCGGGCTGGTCGCGGAGAGGAATTTTGGGATCTTCAACATGGATTTCACGCCCAAGTATGATCTCGGTCTCCTCCATCAAGGATCGGTGAGTTGTGCTACTACTTTGCTCTCGCTCATTTTTGTTTGTCTCGCGGATTCCTGAGGACTTCTGTAATTTATTTTATTATTACTATCCAAACACCCCCATGTGACGCCCCTAAACTTTAGCCCCTGGATTTAAACACCACCTTACATACCCCAGGTACCTCATGCCTGCATAGATATACAGTACAAACACCACGTTTAGCCAATGGGCAGCACTTCCTAACAATTATGTTTTTTACTCTGAGGGATTCAATGTACATATTGATCTGAAAACTTACCCAGGAACCAAAGGATAATTTGAATTATTGTGCTTATTTTGAGTCGAAAATAACGTCAGCGTGACAGACTCCACAGTATATGATCTTTAATGAAACGTCGCTGCTTTGCACTGCTCTGAAAATTATCATACACATAGTAGCTCCCATAAGAAGACGCTATGAAAATGAAACCAATAAGCTAGCTGCACAAAAGACAAGCGTGTTGCTATTTGCACTCAAATTTCTGCAGTCCCATCATCGGACCCAATATATGCCCATAGTAAGCATCAATTTCACTATTTAGTTAGTTTGACACACCACTAGCAAAATACCCGCACACTACTTGTTCCAGACTTGATATGCTCATTTAAAAATAGGCACTAAACACACTAAAAACTAAACATAATGATTATGATTATGGACATGTAAAGGCATGGAAACAATACAATTCTTACATAGCAAGACGATGAGGAGCTTTATATACCATGCCGCTGGATGGATTGAATTGGTGTATCTTGTTTTTTTTAAATAATATCTTTGTAATGATTAATTGGCACGCACTTGTTTAATGATGGACTAGATCATGCACTGATAGAATGGAGTATTTGGTGAGCTGGACTCCTATCAGTTCCTTCTAGATATTCCGACAAAGGCGTGTTCGTTTTGAGGGCTTTTCCGCTTTCGCTTTTGTATTTCAAATGTAAAAGTAGAAAACGGTATCTCCTTCGACCGTCATCCTTAAATACAATTCTAGCAGCATAGCAAGACGATGAGGAGCTTTATATACCATGCCGCTAGATGGATAATCATGTTTTTTAAATAATATCTTTGTAATGATTAATTGGCTGTCCGGGACTTGGATGGAATGGAGGTGCTCCTATCGGCCTAAAATATCTAACCGGAGGAGCTGTCCGGTGGCGATGAAAATATCTAACTAGCGGAGCTCTTCGGCGCGATGAAGCAGAAGGATGCGCTGCGCATCGAGATCGATGACATGGAGCCTGCAGTATTCGAGGCACTCCTGCACTTCGTCTACACAGATTCCTTGCCGGATGATGCAGATAACAATGTGGCAATGCAGCACCTGTTAGTTGCAGCCGATCGGTATGGGCTTGACAGGTTAAGGCTCCTGTGCGAAGCAAAGCTGTGCCACGATATCGATGTGCCGACGATGGACACCACCCTAGCTTTAGCAGAGCAACACCACTGTCCCCATCTGAGAGGTGCCTGCATTGGGTTCATAGCTTCGCGTGACGTGCTTGGTGCCGTCATGGAAACTGATGGGTTCAAACATCTCATCACTAGCTGCCCTGCAATCATGAAGGAGATTTTGGACAAGGTCGCTGCCGTCTGGAGCAATAAGTAGTGTCACTGAAAATATATAGCTGAACAGCAAGCAGCAATACGTACAATGCTGCAGCATCAATATTCGAACACTGCCCATCACATTAATTATATTGATGGTGTATCCATTGCAGTTCCTATTATATCGGAAGAATGTGCGCTGCAATGATACACTGCTACAATGAAATTTTGAAGAAAATCCATTATATTTTAATTAGCATTGTTTGTCCTTCAGTTTTCTTCTTACGTTTTCCCTTCTCATGTTGTGTGGAACTGTACTGAAACTCATCACATTCTTCAGCTCTATCTTGCACGATATGCTTTGTCGATGGAATATATATGATTGTCTCAGGTAGGTTTATCACTTCTCCCAATATGCTTGGTGCTATTGTGGAAACGGAAGGATTCAAGCATCTCGTCCATTTCCATTTGGCTATGAAGGCCGGATGGCGTTAGAGATGACTAGTCTCGTGAGACGGTGGGAGATTAGACTATTCTGTATATCTAAATCTTTCTGTATATCTAAGTCTCGTGAGACGGTGGGAGATTAGACTATTTCCATTTGGCTATGAAGGCGACGTTTGGCACGGCCGAGGGTCGGTCTAGTTTCGTGCATTACCCCCATCCGTGGTTTCCGCAACTGGAGGGGTTGAGCTAACGTCGCTTGCCTTGACGGCTCGAGTGACGTGCTCGGTGAGCTCACTAATGGGTACGTCCGAGTGGAATCCGGGTTCGTCATTCGTAACGGGTCGGCATAGCCCTCATATGGCATTCCACTGCTCCTTAACCCGTTTCCCGGCAGATGCCCAAGCCGTTCTGGAGGCTGACTTAGGTGGCCCGCTGGCCTCCTCTCGATGGAGATTCTGTGGGCATGGCTCGAGGTTAGGACCGAATGAGAAGGTTGAAATGACCCTGTCCGCTTCGGAGCGGATCGGGCGAGGGCCGCTTGGGCTCATCTGCGTTTTCTCCTCTAGCTCTGTTTGACGCGAGGCGGCCTCAAGCCCTTCACGGGCCGGCCTTCGAACCCCGATCAGTCGTCGCTCATATCGAATGAGGCAACTACCGCTTCGTGACGCAACACGAAGCGTTGTGATGCAATAATTGCATATGCAATGCTTGGATGTATGGGATGAATGTATGGATGAATATATGGATGCATGCATGAGAATCGATGAATGAATGATCATGCATTAGAAAATAAAAAAGGGGTTTTGGTAAAGTTACCTTGATGGCTCGAGTGACGGGTTCGGGGAGCTCTTTATCGGATATGTCTGAATGGAACCCGGGCCCGTCGTTCATGACGGAGTCGGCATAGCCCGCATGGGGCATGCCACTGCTCCTTACCTGTCTCTCGGCAGCCGCCCGATCGACTCGGGTGACCCGTTGGTCTCTCCTCGATGGAGATCCGGTTGGTGGGCCCTTCCAAACCCTACCTGGGAAGGCGGAGGGTCGTTTGTATGCGGTTGCGCCTTTTTTCCTGCGCCCAGACTATGGTAGTGGTGGGCCCTGCCCAGGCCACGTCCTGTTTAACTAGGTGACGTTTCGTTGGGCATGGCGTCGTCCCATCAGCCAGGACGCGTCCCACCGCATGCCTCCACGCGTTAAATAGGGGGAAGGGAGAGGGTTTTCCTCCCATTCTTTCGCCTTTCTCCAACTGCTTCATCTTCTCCTTCTTTCTTTTAGCCAAGCCCGTTAGTGCGCCGTGGGATTTTCTAGGAGAGAGGGTAAAGCGAGGGAGAGGAGAATTTACAGATCCGTTCGTGAATCTGAGGCATGATGTCGAACTGGAGGCCTTCCACCACGGACGAGGAGGTGCTGGCCGCCTTCGCCAAGAAGGGGTTGCTCCCATCAAAGGAGGTGGCGCATTGGAGGGCTCCTACACCGGGGGAAGTTGTTCCGCAACCTTGAGCCGATGAGGTTGTCTCCTTCCTCGCCTTCCATGAGCGCGGGCTTGGGTATCCCAGCGCACTGGTTTCTGCACGGGCTCCTCAACGAGTGGGGCCTGGAGCTGCATCACCTCAACTCGACTAGGGTGCTGCACATCGCCGGTTTTGTCACCGTCTGCGAGGCCTTCCTTGGGATGGAGCCGCACGTGGACCTCTTCTGGCGGATCTTTAGCGGGCGAGCCCTGTTTGAGGGGAAGCAGCCCAGAACCATGCCGAATCCATCGACCCCCTACCCTGCGTACTCCCCCTGTGACCCTAGTTATTTGGACCGGACCGGACCGACGGTCGGACCGGTAAAAGACCGAACCAGAGACTACACCGGCTCGGTTCACTTAAAAGACCGTTCATGCAATCAGACCACTAAAAACCGGTTGAACCGGCCGGTTTTTTAAGAAATCGATGAACCGGCCGGTTCTGTCTGGACCGTCCCGGTCAGGAGCTCTGGTCTCGTAGCGCGCGCGCTGTTGTCTCCTGCTGCCCGTGTGCATATCTGCCGCCGGGCCCAACTGGCTGCTACTGCTGCCTGCGCCTGTGAACGTTTGGAGGACGTGTGTGGGTTGTGAACATTTGGAGAGTGACGTGTGTGTGTGTACATTGCCTGCCACGCTTCATGCACTTCTTGACTTTGGACGCCGCATTTTTAATTTCCAAAAAAATGAGCTCTCTTAATTAAATAAATAATATATCCATCTTGATTATTTTGATGAGCTCTTCCCAATAGTACACTCTATTTCAACATTTGAGATTATTTTGATAACCGTGAGTATTTAAATTACTATTTAAATCTTTTTGGAACCAATTGGTAAGTTCTCTATATATTATCTTTTCATGCATATTTTTTTTATATATAATTGTAGCTAGATTAGCTGGAAAATGGTTAAATAATTGTCTTCTTTATTAGATTATTTGTATATATGATCAACTATATGTTGCTAATTATCGGTTATATTTCATTATATTACACCCGTTTGAAGTATTTGTAGGCGGTTCAATTCATCCGGTCCAAAACTATCGAACCGGCGGCCCAATCGGTTCTTAACGGTTGGACCAGTGAACCGACGGTCTCACCGGTTTGATTTCCGATCCGGTCCTAATAACTATGCCTGTGACTCTAATTAGGGGTGGCATGGTGAGTGGTTCTACATTAGAAACCCAGTGGAGGTGCCATTCCTGTCATTCACCGGAAGAAGGCCGAAGAGGAGGGAAAGCTGGTCATGGGGTCCTGTCGGTCGGCAAAACAAGTTGGAGGTTATCGAGGCGGAGCTTTAGAAGCTTGTGCAACATGGCCTCGACGGGTTGCGGGTCTTCCACACCTTCTTCCGCCGTTGGGTCGCCTCGTTGGTGGAAAGAACGCAGCTGATGTGGGAATACATTGGCCCGACGGATCCTGACCGCGCGTCGCTAGAGGAGTTGCCGAAAGATGAAGTCTAGAGTCGACTTGATCGGGTGCTGCAGTTGAGGGACAAAGACTCCCTCAAAGGGACGCCCGACCTCTGCATGTCGCGAAGCTGTCCAATCTGGTATGCCCCCTCTTCTTCTCCCGTGACCTTTTCCCTCTTGCTCTTTTTTGTTTTGATTTTGAGTTGCCCATTTCGTAGGGACTCGCGGGTTACAAATCCTGTCCTCACCTTCCGAGGGGGCCAGAGGGCGTAGCTTGGCAAGCTGCCCAGAAGGATGCGGCGCTTGCCAAGAAGAAGAAGAGAGCTGAGAAGGCTCGGAGGAGGTTCGAAAAGGAGAAGGAAATCAGCCGACGGGTCTAGAGGGGTGAGAGCTGGAGCGACGTGGAGGCAGAGCTCGAGTCGGAGGAGTCCATGGAGATGGGTGATGACACAAGTGCCTCCGAGGACGAAGGAGACAGGGGTGCTATCATGACCTCGGTGGTGCACCGTGAGCCTACGACCACATCCATCAACGGCGGGCATGATACGGAGACGTGCGGCGATGGTCCTAAATCTAGGAAGCGCGCCACGAGCGAAGACACCACCGTGGAACAAGAGGCGAAGCGGGTGCGGTCGCCGCGCCCTTCGGAGGCGTCGTTGGCTCCGCACCACCCCTACTTCGAGTGTGGCCAAGTACGCCGGCCGGTCGGAGGAATGTGTTCGTTCCCCTGTATCTTTGGGGTCGGTGCATGTGCACGACCCCAATGGGGGATGTCCCTCCAGTGGCTCCGATGGTTTCACAACAAGCTGGCGGTCGCGGCCATTCGCGGGCCGATCGGGACTGGCCGGGTCGGCTTCTGCCTCGATCGATATGGGGGGCGTGGGTTGTGACCCGCGGGTGGTCCTTGTCCGGTCGACCTGCCGTTAGCTGGTCAGGACTTCAGGGCTCTACCACTTTCGTCTAGGTAAGCATTCATGCTCCCTCCTATTCTCATAGTAGAGCTTTTTGAGTGTGACTAACCCGTGCTTGTTTGACAGCAGCCGAGGGCTGGCGGGACTAGGAGTCTCCACACCTCCTGTGCGGGAAGAGTGGAGACCTAGCCTATAGTGGGTCGCGACGAGCGGCAGAGGAAGCAGACTGGCGGTGGCGTGACCTTCCTTACTGGGGGTTACGTCCTTCTGGCTAGTTGCGAGCATGGCGGCAACAGCGGTGGCGGTGATGGCGGCAATCCTCGTGGTGACGGCAGAGGTTGGGTCAGAGGTGACCCTCGCGATCCCTCCCCCAACAGCTATGGAGGAGGAGAGGAGGGAAATTGGGCTCCCTGCCTCGCCTGGTGGTGGAGGGCATGGTTCGCCCTCCTAGTCAAAGCTAGAGGGGTCAGGAGGAGACATGGCCAGGCCGGAGGTAGAACATCTGCCGGTGAGTTGTGGAGTCTAGGCGGTGGAGATCCCCTGCTCTAGCATGGCAGGCACTAGGGTGGACCCGCCAGCCATTCCACCATCATGGGAGTTGGTGATGATCTAGTCATCGCATGATAATGCGATGGCTAGATCTTCCAGCGGGTCAGGGGCGACCCTCGAGCTGGTGTAGCCTTGCCCCGACGAGACGGGAAAGGCTCGGTTCGTCCTTCATGATGAGGAGGAGGTGAAGCTCTAGCACTTGCTTAGGGAGAGAGGACTATAGATGGAGTCCGATC